TTTAATTGTGTTTGCTCGATTAAACTTCATATGTTTTTACTTAAATAAATAATAATGATAATGATAATAATAGCAATAATTGAATACTAAAAATAAGTTGATTTGGTTGCATCTAATTTCATAAATAAATAAGTTACATTTCATATTTATTTTATTTTATTTTTAAATTGGTGTAGGATCCATAGTTGATACTGTCAAATTCTTAGAGGTATCACGTGTGTTGCATCGAGGTGAGTAATTGCTCTTTATTATGAGATAAAGATATTCTTTCTAATTATGAGTGTTATTCTTTTTGTAATTGTATTAGATTTCTAGCTAATTATAGGTTTGTAATTCATACCTCCTTTAAATTCCATTCATATAATTGTACTTGTTTCTATTTTTGCTTATAATGGCTTTAATGTATAATTAACATTGTTTATTGTTGTTTAGCCTTGTACTTAATTGTTCACATTTTTTTATTTTATTATCTATTATTTCTTTTAAAGACTGAGGTGACAAATCTCATTATTTCAATTTTCATAATTGTTTATAAAAACCGGTAAGTATTTTGTAGTTATATTTAATTTGATTATGATACATGAAATATAACTAATATTTAAATATTATTATATTGGTATTAAATCTTTTTGTTATGGCTAAACGGACCAATGGGCCCTCAGAAAGTTAGCGGATTTCAATGGGATTTGTACTTATATTTCCTTGTTTCAATGTACCATAATGTGTGTTTGTGTGTGTACTAAAATTATATATTATCAAGTAATGTTAAATTTGACGAGTCATATCTATGCAAAAACACTCAATATTGTAGCATGCAAATATCTACATAAAATCGCATTGTTTAATTTACTTCTATTCATGATTATAAGCATGTGATAGACTTTACAGATTTCAATATGCACATAATAAATCGTCCCATTTATTGGTCATGTTATATGTCCCATTTTTCTTGTCGTTTATGCCTTAATAATTATTATTTATTTACTGACTTTGATTTTAAAACTCACCTGTTTAACAAATTCCACTCAGCCACTTACGAGACCCTCTCCTTCATACCAAACTTTTCAGATTTGATTTTTTGTTGGTATTTTTTCCATTTTGTATGAATTATTGTTTTTTTTTTTTTAGATTAGATAATTGTTTCTATATTTTCATTTTAGTTTATTTCGAATATCTCATTTTCTTTCAATTGTATCAGTTGTATTATCTTTCTATTATTACTTGCATTTTTTTTTTTTT